TGACTAGCGTTCCATGGTGCCAGCAAATGCGAAGGAACCCAGTCTCTTATGGTCTGCCACATTGAACCTTCCAACAGGACCAGTCATCTCGGGCATCAGTCCACAGGGTTCGTTTCTCTGGGTCTCAATTCTCCCAGCGTCCCCCCGTAACTCTCCTCCTCATCTCTCTTATCCTCCATCCCAGTCTTTCCTTTCTTTCCCTCTCAACTCTCTCCTTTTCTTCTCTTGGTCTCCTTCTCCAGTCTCTTGCTTCGGCCTCTCCCCAATATGAGGGTCTGGGTGGGATCTCTCTTCTCCTTCTGTAGTCCGCCTCCTCCTTAGGCACTCTTAGCCTTTTCCATGATCCAGTCCAGGGATCCTCCGTCCACACCCATTCCCAGCCTGGCGGCAACTACCCCTCCTTCCTTTTTACCTCCCCTATTCCTGCCTCGAACTCCACCCCTTTTTTCCTCTCCTTTCCTGCCTTTTCCTCCTGGACCTCCTCCATCGTTGTTTGCTGCATTCTTTCACTCAGTTCCTCTATCACTCTCCCTTGCTGAGCTCTCTCCGTTGGTTTGGGTGTTGGCTGGTGTCTTGCCTCCTTATCCTCGTTGTGGGGGAGGGCCGGCTCTCCAGCAAGCGGGGTATCCCTCTCGCCTTCTGTCTCACGTCTTTATGAATGGCTTTTGAAAATGAATATGCATTACTTGTTATGCACAAGTAAAGTAGTTGCTACTGCGCATAAAGTAACATTATAACTTCTAGCTGTACTTATGTGAAAAGTAACTAGTTGTGGCAACCAGTCCTTTCTAAGCTCTGAATTAGTCATACAGACATTAAAAAAATGATTTAAATAGTGGGCAAGCTCTGGAGGTCATGGGACCAGAGTGCCCAATATCTAATGTAACAAGGCAGTCTCCCTTCGATCTCTCTCTTGCAGTGCAGTCTGCTGCTTGGTACTTTGCGCCAGAGCATTTTCCAGTCCTTCAGTGTAGTTTTGAGGGCTTACGGGGGCTGCAAGGTGAGATAGGAACATTCCCCTCTGGGTTTACAAGAATGAAGCAGAAACAACCCTTTTGACTATAGTTGTTTTAAAGTTTGATATTGTATAGCTTTAGGACATATTAGTAAGCAGCACTGGAACTTTTAGATGGGCTCTAAATGTTGTTAAATGTGATCGGTTAGAATACTGCTGATGATTTATGCAGGTGTATGTTAAAGACAGGAGGGCCTGGCGTGCTCTGGTCCATGGGGTCACGAGGGGTCGGACACGACTAAACGAAACTATGTTAAATGATATAACTCATTCCAGCAATTGCTGACTAATTAAGTGCTGGTCACTTTCTGAGGCATATGGCCAGTTGTGCAATATTGCAGCCTCAGTTAAGGCAATTGATGTCAGTGAGATATACAATTTAACTTATAAATCACCAACAGGATTTTGGTAAAACTCTAATTCCCTTGTTTTTGTATTTTCTGGCCTTCTGTCTCACGTCTTTATGAATGGCTTTTGAAAATGAATATGCATTACTTGTTATGCACAAGTAAAGTAGTTGCTACTGCGCATAAAGTAACATTATAACTTCTAGCTGTACTTATGTGAAAAGTAACTAGTTGTGGCAACCAGTCCTTTCTAAGCTCTGAATTAGTCATACAGACATTAAAAAAATGATTTAAATAGTGGGCAAGCTCTGGAGGTCATGGGACCAGAGTGCCCAATATCTAATGTAACAAGGCAGTCTCCCTTCGATCTCTCTCTTGCAGTGCAGTCTGCTGCTTGGTACTTTGCGCCAGAGCATTTTCCAGTCCTTCAGTGTAGTTTTGAGGGCTTACGGGGGCTGCAAGGTGAGATAGGAACATTCCCCTCTGGGTTTACAAGAATGAAGCAGAAACAACCCTTTTGACTATAGTTGTTTTAAAGTTTGATATTGTATAGCTTTAGGACATATTAGTAAGCAGCACTGGAACTTTTAGATGGGCTCTAAATGTTGTTAAATGTGATCGGTTAGAATACTGCTGATGATTTATGCAGGTGTATGTTAAAGACAGGAGGGCCTGGCGTGCTCTGGTCCATGGGGTCACGAGGGGTCGGACACGACTAAACGAAACTATGTTAAATGATATAACTCATTCCAGCAATTGCTGACTAATTAAGTGCTGGTCACTTTCTGAGGCATATGGCCAGTTGTGCAATATTGCAGCCTCAGTTAAGGCAATTGATGTCAGTGAGATATACAATTTAACTTATAAATCACCAACAGGATTTTGGTAACACTCTAATCCCCTTGTTTTTGTATTTTCTGAAAACTGGATGCTCACAGATTATACCTTAGATGTTCAAATTATCTGATGCTGTTCACAAAAATATACAGTATCACAATAATTTTGCACAATAATTTTAAGCCTTTTTATTCCTGGTACTTTCCACTTCTACAATTCTGTGATTCTATGAACAATTCATAGTTGCAAATGTGTGTTTTTGTGTTTCTTTTAGTATTTCTGTCACTAACAATGTAGAATAACTTTTCTTGCAGCTTAAACTTCATCTAAAATGCCTGGGAGGTTGGAAAAACATATTGACATATTAAATAAATCGAATGTGACATAACTCAATGTGATCTCATGTTCAGCTATGGTTGGTTTAAATTTTAAAATTTTTTTGCACGGATAACAGTATTCTGTTATTTTTTATTTGTTTAGTTGTAGAAGAAATTATATTAAAAAGCTACCTATTGAACAATTTGAAATGTTAATGTTAAGGTTATATGTTCCTTTATAGTAGGTTAGAAAGGCTGAGAAATGTTCTGTACATCTTCAAGCTGTTCTAAGAAACCTGATGGCCTTGTGATAATGCATCTGAGTCAATCAAATAGTTGTCTTTTAATATACAAAAAAATATTTTTTTGTACTGATAACAGTATTCTGTTATTTTTTATTTGTTTAGTTGTAGAAGAAATTATATTAAAAAGCTACCTATTGAACAATTTGAAATGTTAATGTTAAGGTTATATGTTCCTTTATAGTAGGTTAGAAAGGCTGAGAAATGATCTGTACATCTTCAAGCTGTTCTAAGAAACCTGATGGCCTTGTGATAATGCATCTGAGTCAATCAAATAGTTGTCTTTTAATATACAACTTTTTGCCATGCTTCAGGGCCAGAAACATGTAACGTTCCATCAGTGATCCTTCTCATATACAAAGGGGACATGTCTTCTGAGAACAGCTAGTGAAAAAAAAGGTAAAAAAAGGAGAGAAGGGGTTAAGCCTCCTGCACAAGCTTTCCTGTTGAATTTTGGGCAGGTAATACAAAGCATCCAGCCTATTGTGAAGAGATTAGGTGAGTGTTCTGTGAATTTGGGCCCAGTGTGTGAGCAAAATCTGATGTCCATCTGAAATTTCAATTTAATTTATTCACTCAGATTTAAAAATAGACTACTGAGTTGCCAGTATTCTGTGCAACGTACTTTTATGTGTAGAAAACAGTTAAACAGAGTCTCAGAGGGTATATTTATGTGTTTTTTTGTGACACACCAAAGTAATAGGATAAGATGGGACTCAGGATAGGGGATAATTTGCAGAATTCATTAGGAGTGATCAATTAGTTCAGCCGCCGTTCCATCTCCCCATACTTGCCTGCATTGTTTATCTCTTCAGCTGCAACAGACAAAGGGACCTGCTTGGTGGGACAGTCATTTCTATGTATAATAGTTTCAGAGTACAAATACTTTTACCTAGCCCACGTTAGTAGAATGAGATGGGCAACGGTGGCCCTCTAGATGCTTTTGGCCTGCAGTTTCCGGCAATCTTAGCCAGGATAGCTGCTGGTGACGGATTATAAAGTTGCAGTTGAAAAACATTTGAAAGGCAATAACAGCCCACCCCTGACATAGAAGAATACATTTTGTCCATTATGGTACTATGCTTAAGAGTCCTGCTGGACCAGGCCAATGACAAATTTACTCCTGTATCTTATTTGCCATAGCGGGTTACCAAATGTGTCCCATAAGTGCACATGCTGCGTTTTCTGTTCCTTAATAAGGGGCATGTGTGTGGCTGTGACTATTTCTAACGTATACCCTGTCAAAGACTTTGCTGAGAATAAACATAAGCAACATCTATGTTAAAAGTGATCTTAGTTGCTAGTCTTCCAATGCTATAGCCTTGAAGGAAAGGTCAGATGCAAATTAATCAAGATTATGTTGTAAAATTATCTGGCACTGGAACTCATTATATTCTTCTTTCTCCTCTTTTTCACACCCATGGTAATGACTGAATCAGGTTCCCTGTAAGATCTACAGTAGGCATCTGCAGATTGTTGTAAACTCTGGTTTCAGAAAAAGTCAAATCACAAACTGTAGATTGGTTGTGATGCATTCTCACATGCCTTTATTTAAAGAGACTACAATTTTCCAGATTAAGATGCTCACAAGGAGCTGTGGTCTGCTTAAGAGTGGAAGTGGACACTTCTGATTTCGCAGGCATGGAAGGGGGAAAGGAAGAATTCAGGACTCACCTTGGCTCATTCCCTAGCAGGGACCATGTTTCCTCTGATACTTCAAAGTGTGATGAAAAAAATAAATTTTAAATGTGTTTTATTTCTCAGTTTACTGTTAAATTTGATCCACTCTCGTCTTCTGCTAATTCTGTTGATGTGCACTTGGGTGACAAACTGTGTATGGGTCTTCATTTTGTGTGGTTGAAATGTATGTTCCCAGGCAATATTTGATGGCTTACACTAAAATAGTGACCTGAAACTCTTCAGGATTGTATTAGTGTCAATTGTGAATTGTTTTCTGAATGCTTAGTGTATATTGGGAGAAAAGCGAAATATTGACATTGTAAGGAACATACATTACATATGGTGGACTGAATTCACAAGCCATTAAGAGAAATGCCTGCAGCAGAGAATTATTCCAGGGAAGCAACGGTGAAGGAGAAAGTATACATTTATCTTTATTATGCTTAAACAGATATGCCATTAACAATAATTCATAGTATTGTTTTCCCCTTGTTAACAACAGATGATTCATAATTATATGGAACATTTGGAAAGAGCCAAACTTCACCAACTGACGGGAGGTGATCAGCAGGAGCCTGTCGTGCACAGTAGAATTAGGTAAGCCTTGCTCATCTTTGCCTGAAGTCACTCAATTCACGGTTTCGTACCTTCTGGAATTCTTTGTTCTTCAAGAATTTTTCATATATTATTGACGTTGACAAAAAGAAGTGTGTGTGGAATGGTTTTGCTGCTGGGAGAGTTCAAGGCCTGGATCCAGCAATTGGCTCCCTCCTTTAGATTATTAAGTCCTCATAGATCTGATATGCAGGCTTTTCCCATTGTTCTCACATAGAGTCACAAGCTGCAACATAAAAAGATTAGCAAGGAGAGGATTTCAAATAACCGAATCACGTTTGCATGATTGCATCTGCTTTTGTGCACCAGTTCACAAGGCAGCATCTTTGACTAAAGCTTTCCGACACTATGAAATAGATGCTGGAGCTTCCCCTCTAGTGAGCTAGGAAGGTTTGAAGTGATGTAGAAGAGAAAGCCACGGACAAGCTTGCTTTTATCTTTAGGTTGCTGCATAGATGCTGGGGAGAAGAGAAGCAGCTCTGGTGGTTTTTCCCCCCCTTCTCCTTCCTTGTTAGGTGGGGGGGAGGAGGAGAGGGAGGTGATGTCATTTTGCTTTGGAGCTGCTGCGGAAGAGAGTGAAAAGCTGCTGCCGATGGCATTGTTTTTGTGGCGGTGGCTGAATGACAGACTCTCACTACAAAGATACTCCCTTGTCCCCTGTGTAGCCTTGCTTCTTGCACTTCACCATGCCAGCGCAGCGCCATGAATCCTGGATGCATGCTGCTATTTGTGTTTGGCTTCGTTGGCGGGGCGGTGGTTATTAATTCAGCAATATTAGTCTCTCTTTCTGTTTTGCTGCTTGTGCACTTTTCTATATCCACTGGTGTGCCAGCTCTGACGCAGAACTTACCAAGGATTCTCAGGTACTTGGACTTCTACTGGTTTTTTTTTATTCTTTGTTCTTAGCCTCTGGTATTTTTCTCCTTGGAGAAAATGGGGGCGGGGGAGGGAAGGATACAGTGCAGTAGTGCTTCTCTCAAGTGCCGGTTTCCAATCCAAATTTAGGGTTCCTTAGCTATGTGTCATCATATATTTGAACATTTTAAAAGAGAAAATGAGATTTCCATTGTGTTGTGTGTGATCCTATGAAGCATCAGTTGTGCGCCTTGCGAAAGGTATTAGAGAATCTTTTTATAACCATAAATAGCATAACATGCTGTGTAAAAACCATGCCAACAAAGATTCTATTCACTGATTGTTAGGTGCTTGACAACAACCTTGCTTCTGTTGTAGCTGAGGCCTTTCGTTTGATCAGTATGTGTTTTATGCCACAGAATTCTGTAGAATCAGGGTAGTTTTTCAAAATGCATGCTTTTCCATTTACGTGTTTCATTCTTTTTTTGTAAATTGATTTCTAACACACTGAGGCATTCTTCATATACTGCACTGAATAAAGGGATTTAAATAAATGATTAAAAATATGTACTTAGGAGTATGCTTCTCCCCACCCCTATCAAGTTATGTGCTTGCTGCCTTAAAGCAACAGGAAAACTGTTTTAGGGAGATATAATGCCCAAAACCTGATTTCTGAAAACATCATCTATGTTTTTTTATTGTAAAATTGAGTACATTGGACAGGACACCATGGCATGCTGTATTACACCGGAGAAAACATATTTGAATTAAATTATAATATTTTTTTTCAGTGTAACAAAATCTTATGTAGGATAGGTACTGCTAATTTTTCCATAAAGAGTATTAAAATTGTGGCATCTGTATAACCCAGTTTGTAATCCACTGTCCCTTGAAACTGAAATATGCACGTCTTTCATAGAACATTAATGCGGCCAGATAAGCATGTTGTCTGAAATAGTTCTGTTGTATAAGGGGTTTATATTTGTGCATTTGATCTGGGCAAGACCCATTCTAAAGTCTCCCCCCATGTAGTAAGTACAACACTTTTAATGTCACCCTTGGAGTGGGAAATGGAGTGGTGTTAAAAAGTAAAAAGCAAAGCATGCTGCTTGTATAGTGTCCCATAGTGCTTAAAGCACTCTATGGGCAGTATACAATTTAATTATGCAGGCTACACATTGCCTCCCACCCCCCACCCCCCGCAAGCAGGGTACTCAGTTGGGGTTGTTAACTCTGTCATATAAATCCAGTCTAATTGGATTTATTTCAAATAGTATTTGAAAAAAACTGTAACAATGTTCATTCAAAAAGAAGGGAAGAAAGTTAGGTTGAGTCAGAAAAAGATGTGCTTTAATCTTTGGATGCATTAATTGAACTATAAACACTGTAATATTTCAAGTAACTGACAAGTGTGCAATTTTTTGTGTTAAATCAGTATTGTATTTTCAGATGTGGCATTTCTAAAATCACAGCAGATTTAAGTGTTCCTTTATGGTACACAGACACTATCCTCTCTTTCTCTTCTCCTCCTCCCTCCCAAACTATGTACAGTAGTTTAAGGCAGACCTCTTATCTGCCTGAATCTGTGTAGCCCAATAGTAGTTTCTACAATTCTTTACTCCTTTGCTGTGCATAAGCTAGCTGCTAGATGATCTCTTCCTTCAGCCACTAACTGGAGTAATCAACAGGCAACTCTCTTAAAAATGGCATGTGGTTGTAATGTGTGGTGAAGCAGCACCAGCTCAGGTTCATAAAATGTCAGTCACTTCTCAGCTCACCTGGGAAAAGTCAAAATTCTTTCTGGATAAGCGGGCAAGAAAGCTTTTGTAAATTTTCTGAAAATATTTTGCTTTATTGTTGAGGTTCCATTCATGGCTTAGACTGGAATTTATAGACAGATGGGCAAGTACACATTACTTATGGTAATTTTAAAAAATTATGGTGTAGTGCAATTTAGTCCCAATACAGTGGGATCATTGGTCCTGTATCCAGCTGCCATGCAACGGAAAAGAGTGGTGGTAGCTTTACCATCTGTATGGTATTCTCCATAATGGAAGATAAAAATTTGTGGCCAAAGGAAGAAGAGTGACTTGAAACAATAAGAAATGTGAAAGAGTTCAGGGATCAGACTGTAAAACTAATAGGAGTGTTGTTACAGGCCATTTCCACATACCCAGTGGTGGCATGGTAGTAGTACATACACCAGTAGTTATTAGAATTACAGTGGGGTCTCAACTTACGAACTTAATCCGTATTGGAAGGCAGTTCTCAGGTCGAAAAGTTCTTAAGTCGAATCTGCATTTCCCATAGGAGTGCATTGAAAACCATTTAATCCGTATCTGCTCTTTTCGTCCATAGAAACTAATGGGAAGCTGCTATTCCGCCTTCTGCCACTAGAGGGCGATAATTTTTTTCTTTTTTTCCTTTTAACCAAAGATGACTTAGCTTTAAAAAAAAGGGGAAAAAAAGAGTTCGTAACTCGAATCTAAGTTCGTAAGTCGAGTCCATATATTCCTATGAGAGCTGTTCGTAAGTCGAAACATTCGTATATTGAGCCGTTCGTAAGTCGAGACCCCACTGTATATGTTTGTGATGTGATAGGACAGAGGTGGTTGAGCACAGAGTTAGGTCCTGCAGGTGCCAAATTCTGGTTTGGCATTAGTTGTGAAATGATCCATATTGTCAGCTATTTGACAAATGCTGAAACTGTTGGGCTGGACTGTGTAACAGGTTTGTGCAAATATTGTTTGGTTAACTACTGTGAAGAGTAAATAAATTTTATACCACTTGTATTTGTAAGTACCTTATAACAATATATAAATATGTGCAGACCACAAGAAGAAAGCAGTAAATAGTCACACTTAAAAAAAAATTCACAAGTTCATTTAAAATTTTTTATTATGGTTAGTGCCAGGCAAGTATTATTTTCTTGAAAAGTATGCAAGAGAATGCATGTGCATGTAACATGCATGTCCTTGACCTCCCCAGTGTTATGGAGCTATGAGGCAATGCTATGATATAATTTGAAATTATAGGTCACTCCTCTACACAGAGGCCATCTTCATTTCATGCATATTTGACTGCAACTAGTCAAACTGTCAGTCAATTGATCCATACAGCATGTTTGCCTGAAACAAGCCCTGGCACACTTAATCATCTTGTCACAATGTCAGTGTTTTAACTAGGGTTGGTTAACACTCACAAAGAGAAAAATATAAATTCTGTGGACTGGCTAACTGCAGTTTTGCATACATCTACTTCGTTTGAATATTTTTAAATGTTACAAGGTTAGCATGTTTGTGCTGAAGTAGTGCAGCCAATAATTTAAGTTATGGTGAGGTGGCAAAGCTTGGAGGAGACAGTGTTAACATCTTCAGAATCCTTCCAAGGTCATTTTGGTTTTTGCTTTGGCAGGTACCGTTCTGTGCTTCTTGAAATTTTTCTGTATGAGAAATATAGAAGTTCATTTTAGATAAAGCTGCATGTTTGAAAGTTGAATGACTTATCGGTTTTTCAGTTTTCTCTGACTTCACAGCTTGCTTTAATTGTTTAATAAATTCATGAACAGTACTGGGTGGATAAAAATCAATGGTTTTTTTTAAAAATCAAATTGATTTAAACAGCAATTTAAATAAAAAAGCATTTTAAAAATGTAAATAAAAACCCACCCTGGTACAACAGTTTGAGATAAATTAAGTAGCAGATGGCCAAGTCCCCTTTAAAAACACGAGCCCACTTACATATTTACATGAAATGTCCTGTATTTTTTAATATTTCAAAAACTAGTGACAGCAGTTGTTTTTGTATTATGCACTGTTTAAAGAAATTAGGATTAATTTTTTCTGTAAAAGAGGTGTATGATACCTCAAAGAGGCCAGAGTTCCTAGCTTCTAACAGAAATTTTCAATATTCCTCTTCCTGTCCCCCTTAAATATAGTACAGTAGAACTGCATCAAAATCTTTAGAAGGAGGGACCTAAGTTTAAAGAGAGATCACACTCTCCAAACAAAGCTTTGCAAGTGTTAGAGTACTAAATAAGCTACTTGGATGCCTTTAAATTATACCTCATATCTGTCTGGTTATGCAGTATTTGCAGAAGGATTACTTCTGCTGATGAAGGAACCTTT